CCTATAATCATAGTGTCCTAAATGATCTCTCATTTTAATCTGATGTCATTTTTCAACTTTGGTACATCTTTGTCAAGGGCAAGGACTGCATATAAGACTGTATTAGTGAAGTAAGTGAATTAAACTGGAAAATATTGTCACTGCAGAGATTTATAAAGGAATAACTGAGATAATAAAGATCAGAGCTATCTAGCAAAACATTTGCAACCTTTAAAATGCTATATCTGGGTATATCTGGTAAAAAATGAAGTATGGATTATTACACCAGCATGAATTAGCAGGAAAGAGGAGCTTTTGGGCATAAAATAGATAAATTAGGTTGATGTTTATGATGGGAAAGTGTAATTTGATCACTTGTGGGTTTATAGAATAATAATGGTTCCTTTTGAGTGTTTTAAGGAAGACCATTATGCATGCCTTGTGATCTACGTTATTTTGTCTTGTCTCTTTTAGGAGTCTCAGTTTTTCTGTGAATTTTTTCGCGGTACGCGGGCCTCTCACTGTTGTGGCCTCTCCCATTGTGGAGCACAGGCTCCAGACGCGCAGGCTCAGCGGCCATGGTTCATGGGCCCAGCCGCTCCGCGGCATGTGAGATCTTCCCGGACCAGGGCACGAACCCGTGTCCCCTGCATCGGCAGGTGGACTCTCAACCACTGCGCCACCAGGGAAGCCCTGTGAATTTTTTATCATGAACTAATTCTTTCTTCATGTTATGTTCTAATTTTCATTTTCCCTGACTCTTCTTTCTCCTCCTCCTAATCCCCTTTAACTCAGATCTGATTCTTGTCTAAGTATTTGTGCAGAATCCCCATTAGTCCTTACATCTTTTCCCTATATTAAATCATATTCATTAAGAGAGGCAGCTGTCATTATGGAGTGACCTCTGGGAGAAGAGTCAGCTCTTGGCTTTGCTGAAGTGCTATATAAAAGTCTACTAAGAAGTCAGAATCCCTGGTCTTCAGTTTTCTCTTCCATAAAATGAAGAAATTAGACTAAATACTAGACTAAGATTGCTTGAATTTCTAACACTGTATAATTCTGGAACTTTGAGGGGGTTTTTCAGGTTTGAGGACTACTGGTCTAACAAATACTGCTCACTTGGAGAAAAAAGATTTTTCACTTAGGCAAACCCCATAGAGAAAATGATCATTGTTTAAATAACAAGTAAGACTCTTCCAAAATGAAGAACTTTTGTGACTCTTAATATCCAATGATCCCAAGTTCTGAGATTACAGTGGACTTTTTATCCAAGGCAGAAATTTAAAATAGGTATAATAGTGGTGATCTGTTGACTGTTTTAAAGTGAAAAGAGACGAAATGAACAATCTAAGTTGTTAATTATTGCAGGTTTACTGACAGTGAAATAAATTTCTGTAATTACAAGTCCTTTACAAGAGGAGATGGAGTTGTAGGTCAAGGTTTCCTTGGGATAAAAGTACAAGAAATATCTCTAAATCAGTTTAGTGCTAAAGTAATTAATGGACAGAAAATTGAAATTATAGGCCTGAAAGCACTGTTTAGTGGAGCAGTTAGGCTGCAACATCTGTCATTCTATTGATCTCTTGGATTGACTGTACTTATCTGGTGGGCCAGGCCAGTGTCCCCTGTCCACTTCCCTCTCTCAGTGCATGATTTGGAGAGGGTATTCTATATATAGAAGAGAGCCTTTTTTTCAGTCATGCTGTACTCCCCTGCTAGGACCCTAGCTCCTCTTCAAGGAGAGTAGTGGTAATATACTTAGTATCATTTTCCCAGGAGAAATAGATGAGCCTGATAAATTTCAGTGATTCAGTTATTCATTCATTTATTCATCCATCATCCATTCAATAAATATTTAGTGAGCAACTATCATAGACCAAGCACTTATAACAAGTGCTGTATCAGTCCTGAACAAGCCAAACATGACCTTGGCCTCATGGAGCTTATAGTCTTTCCCATTTTAGACTTCTAATCCTCACTCATTCTTTCCCCCTCCTTCCACTTCCCAAGCCTCCAGAAGATTCTGGCATATTTTTGTCATTGAAAGCTTTTTTTTTTTTTACAGGTTAAAAATTATATAGTACAAATCTTAAAGGAAAAGTTCACAGGGTCTTGTTGGTTCTGATACACTTCAAACGTATCAGAACCAAAAAAGATCAACCATTAAAATCTTTAGGAGATTCCACTGAACAAAACTTTTGCCTGTTGGAGTGAATGGGTTTTACCATCCTTATATGTAGCTGCAATGTGTGGCCTCTTCCCCTCACCCTCAATACCCTTGTTTTCTTTGTGAAATTATCTTGTCTTTAAATTTCTTTTCTATCACACTATGTAAGGTGGAAACCTGGAATTAATGGGAGACCTACTTTATGTTACTTTATAACTCAAGGAAAAGGCAAAAGAAGAAACTTTTATTAATAATGCTATTGCTAATAATTATTTTTAAAAAAATTATTATTACACACCAGGCAGTGTGTCTTGAATTTCTAGTGAGGTGTGTATGCTTTTTCCCAGAACAATACCTTCTTTACCAAGATCTGATAAAGTAATCTGCAAGTTGCACAGGCTCAAATGTATTGTGACACATTGATCCTTTAACCTGTTTTTTCTTCTTGATTAATACATTACAGGTCATTCTGCATCAACCTTAAATTCTTTCAAGGATTTAAAACTATTTTTTGTTTGTTTGTTTTTTGAATTTTATTTATTATTTTTTTATACAGCACGTTTTTATTACTTATCTGTTTTATACATATTAGTGTATATATGTCAATCCCAGTCTCCCAATTCATCCCACCCCCACCACCCTTGGTGTCCATACATTTGTTCTCTACATCTGTGTCTCTATTTCTGCCTTGCAAACTGGTTCACCTGTACCATTTTTCTAGATTCCACATATATGCGTTAATATACGGTATCTGTTTTTCTCTTTCTGACTTACTTCACTCTGTATGACAGTCTCTATGGCCGTTCCATGTCTCTATAAATGACCCAATTTCGTTCCTTTTTATGGCTGAGTAATATTCCATTGTATATATGTATCACATCTTCTTTATCCATTCATCTGTCGATGGGCATTTAGGTTGCTTCCATGTCCTGGCTATTGTAAATAGTGCTGCAATTGAACATTGGGGTGCATGTGTCTTTTTGAATTATGGTTTTCTCAGCGTATATGCCCAGTAGTGGGATTGCTGGGTCATATGGTAATTCTATTTTTAGTTTTTTAAGGAACCTCCATACTGTTCTCCATAGTGGCTGTATCAATTTACATTCCCACCAACAGTGCAAGAGGGTTCCCTTTTCTCCACACCCTCTCCGGCATTTACTGTTTGTAGATTTTCTGATGATGCCCATTCTAACTGGTGTGAGGTGATACCTCATTGTAGTTTTGATTTGCATTTCTCTAATAATTAGTGATGTTGAGCAGCTTTTCGTGTACCTAATTTATAGTTTTATAAATTATAAAACTATTTTTATAATTTAGACATCTATAGCTTCTTTTTAAATTTAGTGTTTGGCAGTGTTCTGGTATAAGACTTCCAGGGACGTGTGCATATTGTCATTTCAATGTGACCTCTTTCAGAGCCTTGGCTGCTGCAGAAATTTGGTTTATTATGAATATTTGAATGGATAACACTTGTTGTTAATTCTTTGCAAGTCTAAAAAATCTACCTGATATACCCTAAGGATGCCAGGTGGTAATATGTGGATTTTAAACATACCATAATGTGCTGTGCTCTAACTCATTTCAGACTATCATAGAGTTCAGAATCTAATCCAGTGGATAGAAAAATCTCTATTTCAATAATAGCTCTTTTCACGATTAGGTATTGTTATTGTATTTTACAGTGTCACAGTAGCCCCTATCAGTTCTCTTTAGTGGGGATTCAATCATGTGAGGCATAGCCTTTTCTAGATGGCCTATGACAAAATCTTACCTTGAAAGGGGCTCCTATTCCTGTAATTAAGATAGCTACAAAATGAGGCTAGGCAGTCCCCTTTAGAAATCCCATTCTGGAATAGTATATCTAGATTCTTTTTCTCTAACTTTTGTAACAAATATATACTTCTGGTAGATTAACACAGTTCTGAAATTGGGCTTCTACCCTCTACCCAATCAGTCGACTTAAGGACTCTCAAAAAGCAGTGTGTGTATGTGTGTGTGTGTGTGTATCTTTGTATTTTCAGAATTTTCAAACATACACAAAAGTAGTAAGAGCAAAATGACCTTCTGTGTCTTTATATTCATAAATATAGACATTTTGCTACTCTTGTTGCATCTATTAACCCATTTTTTTCTTGGAGTATTTAAATTAAATCCCAGACAATATATTTTTTACCCATAAATACTTTGATACATTTTCTAGATTTTTAATGTTAGGTGAAAGTTTGAGATAAAAATTGTTAAATTTACTTCATTCTTGTTTTTTCTCTGAAATTAGCATAATTCCATTCTAATTAGAACATGTTCCATGTTGATATGTTTAGTTTTCCTGGGTTCGTTTTTGTCTCTCCTTGACTGACACCAAAACCGTATTTTGTTCTTGTCATACTCAGCAGTTATTATACTGCTTCTAGTATAAACAGAGCACGACAACTACACAATTTATGTATATGTATATATGTAAGTTATTTTAAAGCTTTGTCTTCATTGACTATTTCTGTTTCTTGGGAGTCAGATCATTAGTGTAAGATTTTTACTTTTAGGCATAAATTATCACCTTCCTATTACAAACTCTATGAATTTGCACATAGAAATTGAGTGAATGTTTCGAGTATAGGTTAATAAAAGGTGTAAATGTAGGCAGGTGTGATTTGGATTTTAGGAGCTAAGAATTATTCTACTTCGCAATATAGTCCTATACGTGTTTCTGCTCTGAAACTATATTATGTTGGCCAGCTTTAAAAACATAAAGAACAGGAGAATTTTGATAGTTTTCCTTCTTTACTTCTATTGCTTATTTGCTCAAACCAGCCGTAATATCTCTGAGACTCTGATTCAGTGGCTAATATCTTTTTAGCGGAACTCCCACCTCCGTATACAGCCATTGCCAGCCCAGATGCCAGTGGTATTCCAGTAATAAACTGCCGCGTGTGCCAATCTCTCATCAATTTGGATGGCAAGCTTCACCAGCATGTGGTTAAGTGCACGGTTTGCAATGAAGCTACGGTAAGTGGAGATTTTCATTAATAAAAGCAGAAATTATTATCTGACATCTCCCTAAAAAAGTACTCCAGTAATGTTACTTACAAGTAGATGTGGGCTGGATACTGAAATGGCCATTTTTTTATCCTTTCTTCCTTCTGGCTATTTCTCTTTTATCATACAAGAATGCCTCCAGGTGTTTAAAGCTAACTCCATTATGAAAATTTCATGATGAATTTAAATGTAATGCCATTTGGCTCTTTACTTTCTAAAATGAGACTGACCATGGACAGTCATTTACAATTATCTTCAGTGTCTATCCACATCTCAACAAAATCCATTCTGATTATCACTAAAATGAAATATACTGAACTTCACTACAAATGTGGACTTTGTACTTATTATGTGGAAAATTATTTAAACTTGTTTTACGTTTGTAGGTTGTTGATATAATTTTTCTGGGCCTTTGTGATTGTGCATTTATTATTGGCATTTGTGTCGAAGTGTTTATTAACAGCTTGGTATATTATTCCATTTATTTAATATTAATTCAGTGAAATATTCAAAAAAACTTGAAGGACATATTTTTTTACTGAACTTTGGGAAGAGCAACTAAATTTTAAGTAAGATTTTTACAGTTTTAAGTAATAAACTGGTATAAAGAGTATACTGGTTAAATTAAATATATTTCTACTTTCATGGTTAGGCTTTATTTTTTAAATTTCAATCTGTCTCAAAATTTGAAATTAAATATTAATTTAATTTTTGGTATTTGTAGTTTTTCCTCTTTAGAAAAAGCCTAAAAAAAAGTCAGCCAATGATTAGTGTATCTCTAAGAACCCTGAAAGATGAATACTGGGGGCTTTATAATATGTTTTATGGAAAAGTCATAAGCTAAAACCTTAAGTCATGAAGCAATATATATCATTGTAAATACTTTTTCTATAAGGGACATCTTTTAGAGAACTTTATTGTGTAAATAGATGATACCTACAAAACTAGCTATTTTCTTTATCAGTTGAACACTTAAATAGTAAATTTAATTAATATCAACTTCCTTAGTGCTCCTTTTAGAGTTGGCAAGCAAATAAGAATTGCTAGACACAAATAGCAATTAAAAAAAATAAAAGTGTCTTAAAGGCTTCCTTGGATTTGGCATTAGTGTTGAATTTTTTCACCTCTTCCTTCACCCATACAAACTTTGTTCTTTAATGAGAAGAAAGAAAGGAGATTTAAAGCTTTATATTTACATGTGGAAGTAAACAGAACAGAGTAGGTCAATTATGAAAGAATCTCAAAGTCACTATGGATTTAACCAGCAGCCTCAAGCTGGTTACTTAGAAGTGATGAGTTCATATAGGGTCAATAAAATTTGGCTACAAATAAGCTAGCTACTTTTGGACATAAAGAAAATTGTGCTGAAATTTTTATATCATTACTATCCCTGTTAAGTAAAGAAATGTAAATAATTGTGAATATTCTAGAGAATATGAATAGTATTTAATCAGATTGCCTTGTATGGAATTAGTAACATTACAAGGGAAGAAAAAATTGAAAAAAAAAAGCCTTTGAGGAATGCTGTAACATATGACCTGCTAATGTTTACAGTGTAATGTGATCTTAAATTTATGAATGAAGAGGTTAGGCAACTGGCAGCTTCTCTGGAGAAATTCTATGTTGAAAAGAACAGATATAATAGACAGATATAGTGGACCAGGGCCCAAGAGAACAGTTCTCTTATGTTCACTATCACTGTTTCCTACTCAATTTAACTGGTTATTCATTCTCGTCATGTCACCTAAAACAGGATGTCAGTGTATCTATTCTCTTGGGTAGCCACCTTTAACAGGAACTGGACATTCCTGTGGAGATTGAAAGAAATAAAACATAATAAAACAAAAAAATCAAGGTTAATAAAAGTCCTTTTTACTTCAGTAGATAGAATTAGGAAGGGAAGTAAGGTGTGTGTTGTGTGTGTGTGTGTCTGTGTGTGTGTCTGTGTGTGTGTGTGTCTGTATATGAGAGATAGAAAGAATATGGACAAATTTTAGCAACACTTGGAGGACACAGAATTTAAGGTTAAAAGGAGAAGCAATATCTATGACTAGTTAATGGAAAATTTGAGAAGTCCTGGAGAAAGAGGAGCTAGTTGGCTGCATACTTGATTGAGTCTGAGATTTGGAGACTAATAGACTGGGGTTTGAATCTGCCACTTAGTAGCTATATATCCTTGGGGACTTCTCTAAACTGTGGTTCTTCATGTAAAGAGGTATAATAGTAATAATACCTACCTCTTGGCGTTGCTGTTGGGATTACAGAGGTAAAGTGCCCAGCACAGTTCCTGGAACATGTAAGCTTATTTTGCCAAGTAAGACTATTAAAACTTATGCATATGAACAATGTCATCTCCCCTGCTGCCCCCCCACCCCAGCCCCACCGTTTTGCTGTAGACCAGACATGACATGGTGAGGACTTGGCATTGAGGACCAGTGCTTGAAATCTTCTATTTCAATCATCTTGTTTTACAAATGAGAGAACTGAGGTCTAGAAGTATGGTGGGAATAAAATACAGGCTACCTCAGAGACATTACAAGTTCAGTTCCAGACTACTTCAATAAAGCAAATATTGCAATAAATCAAGTCACACAAATTTTTTGGTTTCCAGTGCAAATAAAAGTTTTTACACTATTCTGTAAGTGTGCAATAGCATTATGTCTAAAAAAAGGATATATCTTAATTAAAAAATACTTTCTTGCTAAAAAATGCTAACCATCATCTGAGCCTTCAGCAAGTCATAATCCTTTTGCTGGTGAAGCATCTTGACTCCCTTTTGATGGCTGCTGACTGATCATGGAGGTGCTTGCTGAAGGTTAGGGTGTCTGTGGTAATTACTTAAAATAAGACAACAGTGAAGTTCGCTGCATCAGTCAATTCTTCCTTTCATGAACCATTTCTCTGTAACACACAATGCAGTTTGGTAGCATTTTACCCACAGTAGAACTTCTTGCAAAATTGGAGTCGATCCTTTCAAACCCTGCGGCTGCTTTATCAACTAAATTTATGTAATATTCTAAATACTTTGTTGTCGTTTTAACAATCTTCACAGCATCTTCACCAGGAATAGATTACATGTCAAGAAACCAACTTTCTTTGCTTATCCATAAAAAGCAACTCCTTATCCATTAAAGTTTTATCATAAGATTGCAGCAATTCAGTCACATCTTCAGGTTCCACTTATAATTCTAGTTCTCCTGCTATTTCCACCACTTCTGCATTTTCTTCCTCTGCTGAAATTGAACATCTCAAAGTCATCCATGAGGGTTAGAATCAACTTCTTCACACTCCTGTTAATTTTGGTATTTTGACTTCTTCCCATGAATCACGAATGTTCTTAATGCATCTAGAATGGTGAATCCTTTCCAGAAGGTTTTCAGTTTACTTCGCACAGATCTATCAGAGGGATCACTATCTATGGCAGCCTTATGAAATCTATTTCATAAAAAATGAAACCTGAAAGTCAAAATTACTCCTTGATCCATGGGCTGCAGAATGAATGTTGTGTTAGCAGGCGTGAAAACATTAATTTCATTGTATATCTCCATAAGAGCTCTTGGGTCACCAGATGCATTACCAATGAGCAGTAATACTTTGAAAGGAATTTTTTTTTCTCAGTGGTAGGTCTCAACAGTGGCCTTAAAATGCTCAGTAAACCATATTGTAAACAGATGTCCTGTCATCCAGACTTTGTTTCTCTATTTATAGTGTAGTGCAGTGGCAGAGTAGTTTAGCATAATTCTTTAAGGGCCCTAGGATTTTCAGAATGGTAAATGAGCATTAGCTTCAACTTAAAGTCACCAGCTGCATCAGCCTGACAAGAGAGTCAGCCTGTCCTTTGAAGCCAGACATTGACTTTTCCTCTTTAACTATGAAGGTCCTAGGTGGCATTTTCTTCCACTAAAAGGCTTTTTCATCTACATTGAAAATATTTAGTGTAGCCACTTTTCTTAATTAGCTTAGCTAGATTTTCTGAATAACTTGCTGCAGCTTCAGCATCAGAACTTGCAATTTTTTTTTTATTGAAGTATAGTTGATTTACAATGTTGTGTTAGTTTCAGGTGTACAGCAAAGTGATTCATATGTACACACACACACACACACACACACACACATGCATATATATATTCCTTTTTGGATTCATTTACCTTATAGGTTATTACAAAATATTGAATATAGTTCCCTGTGCTATATAGTTGGTCCTTGTTGGTTATCTATTTTATGATTAGTATGTATGTGTATGTTAATCCCAAACTCCTAATTTATCACTCATCCCCGCTTCTACTTTGGAAACCATAAGTTTGTTTTCTATGTCTGTGGGTCTAATTATATTGTGTATATAAGTTATTTTTTTTTTAGATTCCACATATAAGCAATATTATATGCTATGGGTCTTTCTCTGTCTGACTTATTCATTTTAGTATGATAATCTCTAGGGCCATCCATGTTGCTGCAAATGGCATTATTTCATTCTTTTTAATGGCTGAGTAACATTCCATTCCAATATACCACATCTTCTTTATCCATTCATCTGTCATCTGATGGACAATTAGACTACTTCCATGTCTTGGCTGTTGTAAATAGTGCTGAAATGAACATTGGGGTGCATGTATCTTTCCAAATTATGGTTTTCTCTGGATATATGCCCAGGGGTGAGATTGCAGGATCATGTGGTAGCTCTACTTTTAGTTTTAAGGGAATCTCCATACTGTTCTCCATAATGGGTGCACCAATTTACATTCCCATTAACAGTGTAGGAGGGTTTTTTCTCCACACCCTCTCCAGCATTTATTATTTGTAGTCTTTTTTTTTTTTTTTTTTTTTTTGCAGTACGCGGGACTCTCACTGTTGTGGCCTCTCCCGTTGTAGAGCAACAGGCTCTGGACGCGCAGGCTCAGCGGCCATGGCTCACGGGCCTAGCCGCTCCACGGCATGTGGGATCTTCCTGGACTGGGGCACGAACCCGTGTC